TAATTTTGGAAATGGAGTGTACACAATTTGCCCCCATTTTCACTTTGCACCCCTTTTCTCCTTATAAGTTGCATGTGCACATAAGCACAAAAGCATCTACATTATAACTTCACCCACAAAGTTACAATTACATTGGCATTCTTTTTTTTGCTCATACACAACAAATATGCATGTGTGTTCATGTCTTATAGTAACCTGTAAAGAAAACTATGCTAAACTGTGTATGTCCAGCACTCCCTACCAAATTCGGACATGAAAACTGAAGAATGGTAGATCACCAATGCACCAGAACATGTTTACAAGTGAAATGATATAATAGGGGCACACAAAAAAACTAAAAAGAAATTCCAGTGGTGGGATTTTTAGAATTATTACAAGAAAAATAATTATCTCAAGTTAAACACCCATCTATGGTGTTTATTCCAAATTTTCATGTGATCTCTTGCTTTGTTATCTCCTATTTTACATATAAAGTTTTGGTGTTCATGAATTCTTGTAGCTCTCAATTTTTGATTACTTATGTCTCTATAGTGCCTAAGCCTAGAAGGTCCCACTCTATTGTTTACCAATTACATTTGAAAAATGTATGTTTAGTCTGCAGAAGAGAAGACTGAGAGGAGGCATGATGGCCATGTATAAATATGTAAGGGAGAGTCATAGGGAGGAGGGAGCAAGCTTGTTTTCTGCTGCCCTGGAGACTAGGAAGTAGAACAATGGCTACAGGAAAGGAGGCTCCACCTGAACATTAGGAAAAACTTTCTGACTTTGAGAGCTGTTCAGCAGTGGAACTCTATGTCCCAGAGTGTGGTGGAGGCTCCTTCTTTGGAGGCTTTAAAACAGAGGCTGGATGGCCATCTCCTGACAGTGCTTTGAATGCGATTTTCCTGCTTCTTGGCAGGGAGTTGGACTGGATGGCCCACGAGGTCTCTTCCAACTCTATGATTCTAAACATATAGTAAAGGTTTTCCCCTGACATGAAGTCCAGTCGTTTCCGACTCTGGGGTGTGGTGCTCATCTCCATTTCTAAGCCAAAGAGCCAGCATTGTCCATAGACATCTCCAAGGTCATGTGGCTGGCATGACTGAAAGAAGCACCGTTAGCTTCCCGCTGGAGCGGTACCGATTGATCTACTCACATTTGCATGTTTTCAAACTGCTAGGTTGGCAGAAGCTGGGGCTGACAGTGGAAGCTCATGCCGCTCCCCGGATTGGAACCTGCGACCTTTCGGTCAACAAGCTCAGCAGCTCAGCGCTTTAACCCACTACGCCACCGGGGTCTCCAAATAAAAGTTCCTGCAATTAACCTACTCTATTCGAGCAGTCCAGTGGGATAATAAGACTATAGTAAAAGTCTGTATTTCCACCAAGCCTGTCTGAGTCCATCACATTATGCAGGGCTACTTCCGGTGGGGCTCTGTTCTGGCTCCACCCAGGAAATGTCCTAGTATGAGCCAAGACTTCTCATCCAGTAAGCCAGGGAAAGCACAAAGGGAAGCCAGGTGTAACGTACTGGGGCCGGCCTATTAGAGATATCCCGCCAATTTTGGATATCCCACCACTGCCACCAAAACGTAAAGAACTGGGCAGGGTGAAGGACCTTATTTGCACCAGGCAACAACGCTTTCCCTTGAGGGAAGGCAATGTGGGTGATGCAGGGGGACGATTTCTCCCACTGAACGTCAGATACTTGGTCTTATATGAATGTGCAAAAGGACAACTTGGTCGATACGATTAATACAGTCCTATTTCTGCTCAGTCTTCACACCACATCCTGCTAACCTTTTATTCTCTGCTTAGAAAATAAATCTAAGCAACATTTACACAACAGCTTTCTTTGTGTATGCAAATTTTTTTAAAAAATCAATTACTATTTTTTCTTCCCTCAGAATAAGTGTTCAGTGAACCACTTCCTAAAGGTTATTTAATACTGAATATAGAAGATTGATTTCGATTCAAATTGTACAGTATGAAGAGGTACTGTAATTTCTCCATGTGTCACTGTGGCTGATCTAATTTTGATCTGCAACTGACCTACAAAAAGCCATAATCTCGCTCAATAAAAACAAAATTTTCTGCAGCTGGCTCGGGAGGCAGGAAATGATCAGACCTTTGAGAAATACACTGTGCTAAGTCACTAAAAATCAGAGGCTGAATATCTTTAAAAGATTTTCAAAAATGATGCCCTTCGTTTCAGCTCGGATTTTACTTAGCAAGGTCTACAACATATAAAATAATTGCCAGAAATGACTGCAGAATCACCGAACTGGATTTAGAGTGATACCTATAGGTAGACTGTATTATCAAATGTGTGGGGGAAATCAATATATAGTTGTGGGCAGTTAACTTGTGCTAATAAAGAACAAATTGATGGAGTTTTATTTTGTTTTTAGGTTTTTCCTAGTTGGCATTGGTTATGCTACTGTATTGATACAAGGTCATTTGTGAGCGGTTCTGCTTTTTAAAAATTATTCCAAATTCTTGTACAACCACTTACATATCTGGTTGTGCTACTGTTATGCTACTATTTGTGCAGCTAGTTTGCACAACTGCTTACGCAAAGGTGTAATCCAGCACAACTCTAGTAGAAGGTGTTTTAATTCCGTTTGCATCAAGTTGAATTTTGTGCTTTAAGTTGTGTTAAAACCAAGAAACATAAATATCAATTAAACTTTCAATAAGGGCTCTCAGCTGATAAGTAATTTAAAATATTTAATGAACCCAAATTAGAAATTATGTGGAAAAAATGAATGATGTACTCATAATTTTTAATTTCCTTGTATAACAAAGGAGCAAAAATACATATAATATTTACTTTACATGTGATACTATTATCACTTTTTCCTCTAACGGCTAATGTACAGCAGTATGTCTATGTCTAATACTAAAGACATACTGCCATTTTTAAAAAATCTAACAGGCAGAAGATAGACTGTGCACATTGGCTACATTCATTCAGTCAAGAAAGGAGATATCAAACTAGATTTGTCATGTCCAAGTTTCTTTCAATGTGAGATTAAAGCTCTTTTTAAACAGATCTTTGTTGCATTTTCATGACAATGATAGCAGTATTAGATGGTTTATTAAACACTGCTCTTTGTTTCCAATGTTTGTCATTCTAAAGCAGGTTATTTCCAGTTTATCAGCACCCATCTTAGTTAGATCTTGGCAATACTCCAGCAATGTAGAGCCCATATTTCAGCAAGGGCTTCCTGGCCTTTTGTAAAACTAGTTTTGTACATTACTTATGGATATGCAGCCAGTTCTCAAGTTACAAACATCTTACTTGCAAAATGACTCATATTTAAGAATAGGGATGAAACAACAGAAAGTGAGACAAATCTGCCCCTCTGGAGGGAAATTCACTCCGGAAAGAGTTATCATGGGTAAAAGGTGTCTCCACTGAAGCTTTATCACCAAGCCTTGTTTCCACTACAAGCCATTTTTTTCAAAATCCAATTACCACAGGGACAGAAAGTGAGGTTAAATCTTCTGAACAGGGGCACAGACAACAAAACAGTGGTGTTAACTAGGCTTGGTTGATCAAGAAAAAAATTGGTTCTAAACTTGTTTTGTACCTAGGGGGCGCCCGCGTTTCTAATCTGAGAGGATTTCCGAAATTTCAGATTTCAAAATTTCGATATTTATGAAATTTCGTAAATATACGAATTCATTCATTAATGGCGGACGCGACTGCACAGTATGCGAAAAAAACCTCCAAACAGGACAGGGGGAACTTCTGAAGCTTCCCTCTCCCTCTGTGGTTGACTGTTGGTGTGATAAAACTAACAACTATATATATTATATTATATTATTATATTGTTATTATAACAACAAAAATAGCTAGAAGCACTTAATTCAGTGTATCTATCAAGAACTTAAAGTCTGTAGCAAATTGCTGTGCAAAAAACGTAATTTAGCAAATAATCTGGATTATCCTGGGAAATAATCTGGGATAACAGAACGTTCAAGCAAACTGCTTCCAAATCACAGGGTTAGAAAACACAAGTAAACAAGGTGGAAGCAAGGACCAGACATCCGAAAATAATTACGAAAAATGGGGAAATTATTTCGATTCTTAATTACTCCTCACATGGCTCCTGCATGGCTCAATATTGGATCGAAGCTCATTTAAATACGAATTCATAATGAGTTTAGAAACTAACGAACACGATCAACCAAGCCTAGTGTTAACCCTTCCCTATGTTATCAAAAGTTTACAATATATATATATATATTTGGCCCGAGTTATATTGAAAAAAATGTGTGTTCTGAATTACAAATAAATCAACCTAAGAATAACCAACAGAACCTATGTTGTTTGTAACTTTGGGGCTGCCTGTACTATAAACTGTAGCACATTTTCAAAATGAACAAAATTAGTTTTACAGTAAAAGGCAAAACCCGGATTCTTTATAGACAATTAACTATGAGGCATCAATACAAAACTACAACTAAGAATTGCTGTTTCTGAATGAAAATGGCCTAAAAATGATACTGAATATCTGATTCTTCCTGAAATTAACTTTAGATCCTTAGAAAAATACATTTTCCTACAGTTGGAAAATGTCTGTCCTATTTTAATATGCAGTGTGGAAATTAGTTTAGAAGAAACAAGCTTCTAGTTATAAGAATACTAATTTTTTAGTAAGGGACAGACAACATCATTCCTTGATCCTAAACATGGTTACTTGGAAAAGACTTTTATCTGACTCAATTCCCAAGTAAATATACTCTCAAACGTGGATTTGGACGACCACATGCACTTGCCTAATGGTGGTGAAGACCAAGCTTTAAATTATTTTTGAAAGCTTTAACCTTTTTGAAGATGTCCCCAGGAAGTCACTGCTGAATGTGATAGATTTTTAGCAGATAGTTTCATAAAAATGATTGCCTATGTGGAGCCCAGAACATTGCTAATGTTCATGTTAATATCAATGAGAGATCTAAATCCATCTGTGGGGAGAGAAAAAATGAGAATGGAAGGAACATGAGAAAACTCACAAGGACTCTGCCAGTCAAAGTCTGGGCTGAAATCATCACCCCTGCCCAGTCTTTAACAGAGGTCATCCAGCCCACTTCTGCTGCTGCCACTACTTCCTCTTTTTCATCTGTGGGTTTTATGTCCCCATCTGCTTGGGTTTCCGCAGGGACGCTTATCTTCTGGACCTCCTATGAAATAGAAAGAGAGAAACAGAATGTCACTGGTTGGCAGCAAGAGAGTACCAGATAAATACAATGCACAACATATGCTGAGTGGAAAACCAGTGTGCCAAATGGAAGAACGACCTACTTTCTAATGGTTTCTCACAGAAGAATCTTCTTGCTGAATGGTAAACGGTTGGACTGCAAGACCCCCAAATTCCACAATAAATGTCTTCTGTTCCCTTATCCTAGTAAGATTTATGCTCATCGCCTTCTATACATACTTAACAAAAAAGGAGGAGAGCTAACCTTCCAATACCATCACCATACTGTTGAATGCAGATTTCAGTATAGTTTGCTTTCAATCAGGGATGCTTCAGTTGGCACCATGGAATGGGTAGGAGGGAGATGAAGCAAGAAAAGTGTCTCTTTATGGTGCAGGAAGACTATTAAAATTTGGAATTAGTAATCTGAAGTGATATCACTGAAGTGTTGCCTAAGGCAGCAAAATGATTTCTGCCGATTAATTCCAATCACACAGTTTAGCATAATAGTGCAGCTGTGGATGAGTCTTAAGGCAAATATGGATGGAATTATGAACAACGTCTATTGATCCCTTTTACCAAAAAAAAAATCAATAGCTATCAGAATAGACTGATTTTTTTTCTTTCCCACATTCTGTGCACTTGGTATTTTTCCAAGTCTACCAAGTATTTTTGACACTGGATGCCAAGTTATATCTCAAATCACATGGACAATGTAGCTGGTGTTTGAGATATCTGTGATTAATTTAGACCATATGTTTATGGTCGTATAAACAAACCTCAGTACAAAATGGGAACACGGACAAAATTAATCTAAGAGGAACACACAGTGAATGTGAATATTAGTCATGTATCATTTTAATTCCCTGTTTCTAGAGTAGATTTCCAAGGAGTTTCCATTGGTGCCTTTATGAAATTTAAGCCACCCAAGAGATATGAAACACAGAACTGCCAATCTTCCAGCAGGTTGCTGGGTTGCCAAGGAGCCACTGTTTTAAAAAGCTGTGTGATTAATCCAAGGGACTCCTCCCTGTCTGTATGCAGTTGTCCTTACTGAGTCACTACAGGGAGGTAAGAAGCAAAAAATCAAAGAGGACCATTTTAGCAGTGGTTTGTTGACTGATTCATTGCTGGCCTCACCCATTCACCTCCATCACTTGTGCCATGCTTCTACATTCCAGTCCAATGTGTCTAAATCACAATAAGCACAGATGTTTGAAAAGAGTGCCAGAACACTGTAATCAAAGGATCAGATGCTTAATTCAGACTAATCAGTAAAATCCAACTCCCACCTCTTCTCATTGCTTCTTTTTCTCATTCATGACCTCCTTAGAATAATTAGAAAACATTGCTGCAGTTAAAGCAATAATTACTAAAGTTTGGTTTCTTTGCAATGCTACTTTCACTTGGTTCCTTGAGTCATATTTACATGTCCTGCAAGCCTCCTTTGCTTGACTTGTTTCACCTTACTGGCATCTATCCCTATTGTAGTATTAAGAGATTTTTGCCACATTCCTACTTTCTTCTTTACTTTCCTTCCTTCCTTCTGCTGCCTGATTCCACATGCATCGTATCTATGCTTTTACGACTACTTCATCCTTAAGACACCTTGTTTCTTGACAAGTCTTAATAATCATCCTACATATTATGCATCTAAGGCCCCTTCGACACTGCCAGATAATCCAAGTTATCAAAGCAGAAAATCCACATTATTTGGTTTGAACTGGATTATTTCAAACAGACAGCAACTTTTGGCGGCCAAAAATAGGTTAAAGTAACCCATTTTCGCCCGTGTTGCTGTCCCCATGGGGTTTTCCCCCATGCCAGCTCAGTTAATTCTGCACTGGCATGGGGCCACCCAACCCACCCAAAAAAAGCCTTTAAAACAAAATAAAATTTACTGGGTCACCATTAGGCCTCACTAAAGGTTTTCTCGAACATACCAATGATGTGCCAGAATGGGGGGGGGGGGCAGGAATGATTTCTCCCCCCACCTCCTGGCACATCATTAGTATTTATTTTTAAGTCCTTGGGGGCTTGGGGAGGGGAGTGTCCTCTTAACTTCTCCGGGCTCATAAGGCCCAAAGAAGCAACTTGGCTTGGGGGACAAACTACTTGGACTGTGGAAGCAGCCCAAGTAGCCTGGCCCCCACAGAGCCCATACTCCATTAGACCCAAGCCTTTCAGGAAGGCCCGGTTCTAATAGAGTATCAAAGTAATTCAGGACAAAGTAAGGTTTACCTGCTTTGTCTCAAATTACTTCACTTTTACCTGAGGCATTGTTTGGATGACTCAGGTAAAAATCTGACAGGACCCAGGATATGGGCCCTGTCTGGAAGGGCCCTTAGTCTACACTGCCATATAATCTGGTTCAAAGCAAATAATCTGGATTTTATACAGCTGTGTAAAAGGGGCCTTATTCACTGCTATTTACCCTTTTTCCATCTCTCACTTTTTCTGCACCCTTTCTTCAGGCATGTTGACCCTAGACAACCTACCACTTAGATGTCCTAGTTCATGAAATAGACATCGATGTGTCCTACAAAATAAAAATGTGTCAAATACTTGTTTTAGTCAAATCAACAAACTTCCCTTCTCTTAACAATGTCTGGAGTTTTTTTTCTTTTTTTGATCCTCAGGGAGGGACTGAAATATTTGTGAATATTTCATGAGTCAACACGGTGGAGGCAGCCATCTTTTCTTCAGAACAGTAGCCATGTAATGATGCTACATTGTCACATACCATTGCTGCTAGTGGCATTTGATGCTCTAACTTTAAATGCACTCTTGAGAATAAGTTAAAGAGAGGTAGAAGAAGGAGTTATATAAGCTATTTTACTAGTAAGGAGAGTTTTGCAACTGTCTTGACTGTCTTAAAATGTCACCGAGTTTACATATGTGTTCATGTATGTGAACACTCACATACATCCCTTCACAAGGAATGAGAGTCATCCAACACTGCAGCAAAGAGATATTCAATCCACTTTCCAGTAAGTCTACCACACTTTCGCATAACTGTCCATTTTCTGTTTCAAAATAAACTGAAACACGCCATCACCTTCTCGGTGACTAAGAAATGTTTCAGCTCTACAGGATAAATGAATTACAATTTGGATCAAAAGTCTGTAAATCTCCCCCACATCAACATCTGTTGCAAGGATAAAAGTCATTTTTTCCTTTTCAATTATGTATAGCATTCATTATCAGACAAATATAGATATGATGAATCAGACTTTCTGCAACCAACATTCTTAAATGACACATCCCACAAAGAAATAGCCTACTGATTATTGGAAAACTGTTTTTGAAACAAGAGCAATTCCCTAGAGATTAACCTCTGGTGGTAAAATAAGGTTCCGAACATACAAGTTTATAATGAGTCCTGCGTTCCTCTGCTCAATCCTAGTTCCTTTAGCCAGTCTTCGAGCAGGACATGGAGGCATGAACTTTCCCTATTGCCATCTTCCCTTCATATTCAGAGACACATTTTGGCTGAACGTAGATGTACCATTCAGTCATAACTGATAAACCTAGACATCATCACATCTGTGGCAGCAGATTCCACAGTGGCAAGCCATGTTATCTTTTGCATAATCTAAATACAGATGCATTTTAATTAAAGGCATCACTTGGGTTCAAAACAATCCTGAGCCGTATCACGCGGATTCTGCCAACTCAGGGTTCAACTGAAGGTAAGGAAAAGGCTCTGAATTCCCAAAATGAATCTGGTGTTACCAAATTCTGGTAATACCAGGAAACAGAACCACACAGAGTGGCATTTCTTCCACTCACTTCCAACCATATATGAAAAACAGGAAAGTAGGGAGCTAAAGAAGTGGCGTGTAGTTCCATGACAGGCAGTTTTTCCCTGCACCCTGGGAATAATATTACCAGGCTCTTCTTTTCAGTTCCAAATAGATATCCTGAACAATGTGCCTTGAAATAAGTGACAGCCAAGCAAAACACAACTTTGTGCACTGAGAACACATCCATTTGGACAGGATGGTAAGAATAGTTCCCACTGGATTTTTGCCTGCTATGTCTTCATTTGTAAAATGGTAATACGCCTGTCACAATGGAAGCCTCAAGTGATGCCTTGCACTTCTATATATCATGGGTTACCCCAAAGACACTAAACTGTAGCGAAAAGCCACCTAACCAACATTAAGTAATGGAGGCATCTGTTCTGTGAGGCAGAATGGTTACTACTGTGCTACTGTTTGTTTTGACAGAGAATCTCATGAGAGCAATGCCTTAAAGAAGGAACAGAGAGATAGTGATAAACCAGCACTTGGATATAGCTGTAGTGAGACTGTATAGGATAAAGGGAGAACAAAAGTGTTGCTAAGTAGCTCTGTATAATGTTTGTCTTGACTGGCATGCATTACAATCACATGGGACCAATACAAGGCTAGCAAAAGCTATTTTTCCCCTCATAATACCTTACCATTTCCCTTTACCATGGCTTATCAAAACAACTGATATCAGGACGCAGAAGAATTCAAGTTTTATGTCTGAAACCTTTTGAGGGCACTTCCTCATAATCCAGGGCAAATAAGCGGGGGGGGGGGGATCATAGTATCAGAGAGCAAGTCCAGACACAGAGCTGTCAGTGCCAGCAAATGCTCCCCGTCATCCTAGCACATTAGGTTGTAACAGATTTCTGAAATCCTGTGGCCATTTACATTTATTTTTTATTTTAATTGACTCTCCAAGATGTGCTGTACCTCATAAGCACTAATGTGGATATCTGAATGTGCACACAGAGATTTCTTGTCCTTATCTTTCCTAACACTCCTGCTGTCTTTACTTTTCCCCTCATGAACCCTGTTTCCCTCTGGGGTCACTTGCCTCCTATGCAAGTGCCCACTGAACAAATTCAAGCTCTGTTTAATTTCAAAAACATCAGAACAAGGGAATGGTTGCAGAGAGTTCTCATCTGAATTGCTTTCCTACTGTGCTTCCATTTAGCCACTGGTGTGT